CGGCTTTTGACGTACTGGGGGTACGTTATTCATGTGGTGAGCAATTCATGATGTCTGAAAAAGCGAAGTTGTTTGGAGATATGACGTCGTATGACAATATTATGGCTGCAACAGATCCTAAGACACACAGGTTTTGGGTAATTCTATTTACGACACCGGTGTCGTAATTCTTATTTACGACACCGGTGTCGTAAATAGAATTACCCCGCAGGTTTCTGAGTCGAAACGTGCGTCCTTTCGACTATGCTGAATGGGAGCGTCGTCGAGAAGAGATCGTGCTTACGGGGTCGTATGCCAACTTTGCTTATAACCATGACATGAAACATCATCTACTGGGACGGGTTCCCGCCTCCTGGCAAAAGCCAGCCCCTTCGATCGTGTTTGGGGTATCGGCATGTCTGCATGCTTTTCAGAGGCTAGCGTTTCATCCAAGTGGACGGCTAGCGGTAAAAACTTGTTGGGAAAAGCTTTAATGGAAGTTCGACACCGTTTGCGTGATCATCCCCTGTCTGGCGAAGATTTCCCCGCTTCCAATTCTCCCACGCCCCCCATTTCGCAGCCTCCTCTCCATGGACATCGACGCATCCATGAGGTTGCTATTGCTACAGGTTCTTCGCTACGGAAGGACCCGGGCGAAGACCCAGCTTGTCTACGTTTGGACGCTCCGGGGGACCATGATCGTGGCGTTCATCTGGTGGCATCGACCTCCGCTTGTGCAGACCAGCCTCCTCTTCTTGAACATGGGCCCGATTTGGTTGGCGGCACGCTCCTGTTGGACTTGGACTCATACCCCACCCGGGTCCTGCTGCATGGAGGACCTACAACCACTTCTCAACTCGGGCGAGCGGCGCTTCTGGACTCTGGGTCTCCTGCATCCTTCGTTTCCGACTCCGTGGTCACCGCCATGATGGCTGCCGGAGCCCTGACAGCTGGCAGCGTTCGTGTTTCGCCCTCTCGTCGTTGGGGTGGATTTGGTGATGGACCCGCCCTTGTGACCACCCGCTCAATTCGTCTCACCGTTAATTTTCTCCATGGAAATAGAGCTACCGCTCCCTTGGCGGTCTAGGTCTGTGTTGTTCCAGACGCCGCCATGGGGCACGCCGTGCTTCTGGGTCGTGATAGCTGGATGCGCTTCAACTCTCTCGTGTTCACCACCCTCCCCCACCCTGGACCGGACAACCGGGTTATGGGCGAGCTCACGCTCTCTCCGCGTTTTACAGCTGGCGCTTGCGTTTACGCTACACACGACGACGCTCCTGCCTCCTCGTTTCACCATAATATGCAGGGAGCTCGGGAATTTCTTTGGGGCCGAAGCCTGCACTCGTTGAGGTGGACCTCGTTCGTTCTTCTGGCATGCCTGCGCTGATTGGAGAGTATCTGGTATCGTTCAAACCCGAAGTGGGTGCGCTTTCGTCCCCGGATGCGTTCGTATCCAATGTTCTCTAGCGTATTCCCCTTGCAGGTTGTGCCGGCTCGAGCCGGGAGACTTTATTGGAGTGGCTGCCGCGCCGCTACTACGAGTACCGGTGGAAACCCTGAAGGCGGCACCATCTTCGATTCCTACCGGCCCCACAACATCTACATCACCACCTCGGGTCAACGCCGTTGGCCCCAAGTCCGGGACTCACCGCTCTCCGGACCCAGCCTCCGCCCCGCCTCCTCCGAAGCCGCCTCCACAAGAACTACTTGACCGCTTCTCTGAGGCACAGCGCTCCAGTTTCATGCGGTTGTGGGCTAGGCTGCCCGCACATATGCACGACATCGCTTTCGATCTACACAATCCGGGATGGACACCGGAGGCTATTGATCGTTTGGCCGACGCCCTTGTGGAGTATTCTGACGTGTTCTCTACTTCGAAAAACCGATTTTGGTTCTTGCACCGTCATGCCGTTCACGCTTTCTGTCCCAGCAGGGACGAAGTCCGTTGCATCACGCCCGTATCGTATCAACCCGTTGATGCAAAATAAAGCGGATGCCGTTTTGGACCAATATTTGGCGGCAAGACTCATTCAACATTCCACATCTCCGTGGGCTTCTCCTTTAGTTGTCATCCCCAAGAAGGACGGATCTGTTCGCATCACCGTCAACTACAAACGTCTCAACGCTCTGGTGGATTTGGATGGACAACATCTCCCTCGAGTGGACGGTATCTTGGATACTTTGTACACCGGGAAAGTGTTCTCCATCTTCGACCTCAACTCGGCTTTCCCTCAGATCGTTTGTGATGAAGACACTGTCCCGCTCACCGCCTTTTGCACGCCCACGCAGTTCTTCGAATGGCTTCGGATGCCGCAGGGCGCCAACGCAAGTCCGTCTTGGTTCATCAAGGTCATCAACAGAGTGGTGCACGGTCTGGAGCGTGTGCTTGCTTATCTGGACGATGTAATCTGTTTCGATGAGGAACCTCTGGGACACGTGGTGAACTTGATCGAGTTCTTCAAACGACTGCGACAGTACAACCTCAAACTGTCTTCAGGGAAGGCTCGCGTCGGCGCCACGCACGCCAACTTTCTCGGTCACACCATCTCTCCGGCAGGTGTTAGCCCTGATGGCGTCAAGGTTAGGGCGCTCACGCACATGCCGCCGCCGACGAATGTTAAGCAGCTTCGGAGCCTTCTCGGTGGACTCAGTTACTACCGGAAATTCCTCAAGAATCTCGCCACCAAGGTGCGGCCTCTCAACTCTCTTCTCAAACAAGGCGTCCCCTTCAAGTACACCCCGGGCATGGTCAAGGTTGTCAAAACGTTGTTAAGCGAACTCGCTCGCCCCCCGATTTTGGTCTTCCCGGATTGGGCAGCAATCGAGGACAACAGCCGTCTTCTTCGTTTGTGTTCCGACGCGTGTATCGACGGTTTTGGCGCCTCCTTGGAACAAGAACAGCTCGATGGCTCGGTGAGACCCATCGTGTACATCAGCCGCGCTACTCTTCCTGCGGAGCGTAACTGGACCGTTTTGGATCTGGAGGCTGGTGGCATTGTTTGGGCCATCAAACGCCTTCGCGGCTGTCTGTGGTCGACCAAGTTCATCATCTATTCGGACCACAAAGCCTTGGAGAGCATTGGCAAGGTTGGGGAACACAACGCTAGGGTGCAACGATGGCTCGAATTCCTGTCCAACTTCACCTACACCCTGAAATATCGGAAAGGTTCGGCAAACGGCAACGCGGATTTTCTTTCGCGGTTGCCTTTACCAGCACAAGACACGGACAAAACCGGTCCCGACTGCATTGATGGTGTCGATCAAGCGGGTGTTTTCCTCATTTGGGCTTGTGGGCGCAACTATCACTCGTCGTCTACACCGGAGGTCGGTTTGGGTGGGCTCCGCCCTCCTTGCACGGCAGGAGTCTTTTCGCCCCCAGCGTTGCAGCTCTCCGATTTTGGGGATTTTCGCCGACATCACCCGCGTCGGTTGGATGCTCTGACGTACTCAACGATTGCCTGCGAGAATTCTCGGCGGTCCCCGGGGGTCTTCATCGTCTCGCCTGTTCTCGCATCTTCAGGGCCTGCTTCCTCATTGACTTCGGATGCGTCCCGCGTGATGTCTCCTGTCGCGTCTTTGGCGACTAGATATGTGCAGGTTTTGTCTTCGCTTCCGGAGCAGGGACCGCTCATTTCTTCACGGACTCGGGCCAAAACTACCGCTGTTTCCGGAGGCACCGTCACCGGTCCCGCTTATTTCGGACGCCAGCCGCGGGCTACCATCGTCCCTCGGACATCGTCGCCTGCCCGTCGCTCTAGCAGGTCCCGCTCGACAAACAAGACCACCCGGACCGCCGCGCGTCTGCTGCCGCCATCCGCAACGCCGGCATCAGCGTTTTCGTCGACTGCTCTTGCGCCACCGGTGTCTTCGCCGTTAGCGGCGCGCCCTGCATCCCCGACTTCGCCTTCTCTACAGGTTTTGCCCGGGACTTCGCCACTCACGATGTCCCCTTCGCGGACATCACCACGGACTGCGGCTGCCCCAGTCGCTGAGGCTTCGCCTTCTTCCGCCTCTTCCGTTGGATCGCCTGATTTGTTTTCGGAATCTTCTGATTTGGACACCTCCCACTTGCGGGCTTGTGTTCAGAGTTTCAGCACTGTGGACTGGGCTAGGGAACAGCAGCGGGAGAGCGAGTGTGTGGTGGCTATGCGTTTTTTGTCTTGCGGTTCTCCCTCCCCACCCCCTCCGGGCTTGCTCACTCTCTGTGCTCCTCTTCGCTCCCCTCGGCTAGATGATGTGCTTGTGTTGGCGGCGAAAACCAGACTGCACACGACCGATGACAACATCACCCTTCTCGTACATAAATCGGTGACGTCGCCGGTTGGGCGCTCTGGCGGCAGGACCACTCGTCTGCCGGATACTGGCGTGCCCCGTGTCTACGTGCCAATGCTGATGCGTCCGTGGGTCCTTCATGCATGCCATACGGCCGCGTCATTCCATCTCGGCGTCCATCGTACACAGCGTCTGCTCGAGCGCTTCTACTGGTGGATTGGTTTGGATCGTTCCGTGCGCTGGTGGCTTCGGGCGTGTTTGGTGTGTCAAGCTCGCAAGACTTCACGTCAGACTGCTCGGTGGCCCGTCATCGCTATGCCATTGCCGCAGGGGCCTGGTACGGTCGTCGGCGTCGACTTCTTCGGACCTCTGCCAGTGACTGCCAAGGGCAACTCCTACATTTTGTTGTTCACAGACCGTTTCAGTCGGAGAGCCGACATGTTCGCAGTTACAGCGGCGGAATTTACGGCGAGAGGGACGGCTCACATCTTCGTCAACCAATACATGACCAAGTGGGGATGTCCGACTACGTTATTGTCGGACAACGGACTGCATTTCTGCTCGAAGCTCTCCATGGCGATCTACGAGGTGATGAAGATCAAGAAGGTCACCACCAGCTCCTACCACCCACAGACCAACGGCGGCACTGAACGCGTCAACCACACGATGGCCCAGATGCTTGCGGTGGTCGTCAACGAACAGCAAAACGATTGGGACATACATCTCCCGCACGTTGAGTTTGCCTACAACAATTCCGTGAACCAGTCTACTGGATTAGCGCCAAACGAGATCCAGATCGGACGCATCCCGCGACTCTCGCTTTCGGGCTTCGATCATCCCACGGTAGGTGGTCATCAAAGCTTGGCCCGCGATCAACNTACGATTGGGACATACATCTCCCGCACGTTGCGTTTGCCTCCAACAATTCCGTGAACCAGTCTACTGGATTAGCGCCAAACGAGATCCAGATCGGACGCATCCCGCGACTCTCGCTTTCGGGCTTCGATCATCCCACGGTAGGTGGTCATCAAAGCTTGGCCCGCGATCAACTCGAGTATTGCAACCTGGCTGTCGATCGCCAGCGTCGGGCCTACGAACTTGCCCGTGAGTACAACGCGCTGAAGATTTCGCGAGTCGAATGCCGAAATTCATCCCTGCTGTACGCCATTCACAAGCTCCCTCAGTTTACCGTTGACGGGTGGGTTTGGGTGTACAACACGGCTGCTACAATTCGACAGGGCGTGCAGAAGGATACGGACCAACAGGTGCTCAAGGCCAAATTCGCACTTTCCTGGACCTGTCTCTTATACACATCTAGATGTGTATAAGAGACAGNCCACTCCGGACGGCCGCCCGTTGGCGCATAAACTCCTCTACCTGGACCTGCCTTTCGATCTTTCCGGTCCGGCAGCTCGTTGTCGCGTGTCTGTCCTCCGTTTCAAGCCCTGTCGTAATCCGTACGAGGCGGACGACTTGCCGCAATCTCTGCCCGCCGAGCTTTCGCGTTATGTTCTGCACTCCTTCGGAGATAAATGTCCACCTTTCCACGTCACCGCGGATGATGTGTCGGTGCCTGTCGGGCGCCTCGAGGTCGACTACATCTCGGGACATCAACTGGTGCGGGGCCGTAGCGGCGTTCTCGCTGTCCTGTACCAGAAGCATTGGGTAGGCCTGACTACTCCTTCATGGGAACGGGAATCCGACCTTGATCAATTCCGTCGACACATCCTCTATTACTGGTCCCGGGAGGCATGCCAAAGCAAGCAGAGTGACCGTACATATCGAGTGGCTCGGACTCGCGCGGTAGAGCGGGAGCTAGCCCGGAATCGTGGAGAACGCTATTTGCCTCCTGGGGCTGATCTTGTGCTTAACGCGACTTGGCTTCGCCGTTTCAGCACTTCGCCCCTCCCTGTTGGCGCGCGGCTGTGGTACAAGGCCCGTGATGGATTGTGGTGGACCGGACGTATTGGTACTCATCAGGGCGGCTTGTACATCGTTCGATTTTTGGATGACCCGGGCCCAAGCGTTCTGCCTCTGCATGCTCATCTCTGTTCCACCGCCTTGGACGCCGTCTATGGATCATGGTGTTTCGAGAAACATCGTTCGCGCCCTCTGGGCGACAACCGTGGTCCCACTCCGCTCCTTGCTGAATCCTTACCGTCGGCTGTTCCCACCGTTTCTTCTTGGCGTCGTCGTTTTCATATACCAATCGGCCTATTTTGGTCTATTGTGCCATCCTTCTCGCCGACGTTTTGCTTTTTTTTTTTCTGTCACCTTCCGTTTTGTTTTGTTTTGTTTTGTTTTTCTGCCTTGTCCCTTTTCTTTCGTTGGCTTATTTTTGTTTTGGGCGCTGGGGCAACGCCGCCTCAAGACACGCAGTGTCGAGCGATCCTTCTTCCTTGTTGCCTGCATTCATCTGAATCAGTGAACTGCCGCGACCTGGATGTCCGTTCTCTCTCGCCTTTGCTTAAATGTTTGTTTGTTGTTGTCGGTCTTTGGTTCTCTCGACACGCTCCCTCCGAAGTTTCGTCGGTGTTGTCTGTCTCTATACACTTGGAAAAAGAGTTCCCCAAGTTGCGTCGGTGATTTTTGCCTCGGGACACTTGGACACCGACTTCCCCGCGTTTGCCTAGTTCGCCTGTTTGCCAGTCAATGTTGTCTCAGTTTTGTTTTTGTTTTTGTTCCATCGTGCCGCAGAAGTGTGCTTACGCTTAGTGCTTCGGGATTCCATCCCGTGGCGTCGCCTTCTCCCATGGATTTTCGTCGTCACCCACACTTCGTTCTGCTTCGTCTCCATCATCGCCACCTTCGGGCGACGCCTTCATCACAGTAGCGCCCCTGAGTCGTCGTCTTGTTGTGTGAATCTCTACGACTTTTTGTGTTTCATGTCTTTGAATGATGCGTATCGCCAGCGAGCCATGGCGCATTCGTCGACCGCCTCTCTTGCATTAATCGCTTGTGCTTTGCATCCTTGGTCCTCATGAGGTCTTGCCCCTGCCGTCTCCTTATACGAGTTGGGTACTCTGGCACGCTGGCCATCGTTCTCCGTGCCTTTGCCTGTCGTTCTTTTCTCCTGCCCTTCGTTAACGTCCTAGATTGCGTTGAGTTTTTCCCTTTGCGTCGCGCCCAGTATCAAAGGCTGTATTCGTTCGAAAATTTGTTTCGGTTATGAGTTTCGTCACCGTATTTTAGACTCTCTCGGGTAGTCACCCTCATTCCTCCAGCGGTGATACGCGCGGGTGCGCGTAAAAGAGTGGTGTGTGGCGTCTGGGTATTGTTTTTTTTCCCTGTCTTCGTCTGTTCAGGATGATAGCGTGCTCTGCCGCAATATATATATATATATATATACTCTCCGTAGCTTTATGTGCTCCTCATATCGTGTCGCTATGCACGCACACGCTAGAGCCAGGCTTTCCAGTCGCCCAAGCTCCTCGATCGCGGGGTTGTTGGTCGAGTCACAGGCTGGCGAACAACAGCCCCGCCAGACTCACGGCGAGCACAGTGGCAGCGGCGGAAGGGAAGAAGCTTCCAGAGAGAATGACGCTGGGTGCCGAAGCGGCGTCCGCCTAGGGCAGATCGGAAGATACAGATCAAACAGAGCCAGAGGAAACATTACTTGGCGTAATGGAAAAGGAGAGGATTAAGGGCTATCCGCGGGGGGAGGCAGAAGAGGGGGTCACCATGTTGAAGGTGTTTCTAAGTAAGGGGGCGGGTGGTCGGGCAAGAAGGGGGAATCGGACACACGGGGGCGCTCCAAGAGCGTACCAGGACGTTTTACAATGGGTTAAAAATATGCGAGAAAGTTGGAATCCATATGACATATATTTTCTTTCGTGTAGGTGTAGGATCGCGGAATAGTTTGCAAACGAATGGATGAGTCGTTGCTAACGTGAAGTGTTGGGTTAGAACGTCTCGGTGTCCAGCAAAAATCAGCGGTAGCATGGAGATAAAACCGACAATATCACTTGGGCCTGACACATATGCACAACACAAGCAAGAGCACCGTCTCCAAGAAGAACTCGCCTGGACGCCCAACATCCTGCTCGTCAGTCTCATCAGCCTGCTGCATAATAATGACCCTCCACGGCCATGACGGAGTAGTCGAAATAGTAGCTGTACTCCCCGAGGTTGTCTCCGTCGAACGCGGCAATCTCCATGAAGTCAATGAAAGAGCCTGGTGGAATACTGGGAGCATTTTGTAGTTGTGGCGTCAGACAACAGGGCTTAGGGCGCCGTTTTTGTTCGGTCGGGAAGAGCGGGAAGAGCTTTAGGATACAGCCGCAAGAGCAACAATATCTACCACTTGTCGCTGCCCCAACACACGTATGCATGCTGTCAGCGCTGCTGCGAGCGGAGAACAGATCCGCCCGCCGGTGCAGGAGGGCCGCGACGCGGAGCTTGCAAGTTTGCAACGGCAGATTTCGCAATTGGCGGCCCTGGTGGAGGAGTCGGTGAAGAAGAAGGAGCCTGGTAGCGTCGTGGCGGATGCAGCCAGTAGTGGCGGCTGGGTTGCCGCCACCGGAGGCCAAGATCAGCCCCTGCTGCCGCACGGCGGAGACGGGGGATTTCTCCAGCAGCAAGCGAGAGATAGTGGGCAAGGACCACGGCAGCTGCTGGAAGGCGGCTGGGCCAGCAGATCGGGAGCGAACCCTGTTGGACCAGCCGGAGTGGGCCCGGGCATAGGACCGGACTACGGGGAAGCGAGGGGGTTAAACCCCCCAGGTGAGATACCCGTGATTCGAGGAAATGGAGAATACCTCGACGGCTACAGCAGTAGCCACATGAAGAGGGTAACGGTCAATGCTCCGCTCCTAGACGGAAAAAGCCGTAGCCACGGATTTGACTCGTGGCGAAAATCATTCATCCAAGCTGCGAAGACCATCGACTTGGACGGGCTGTTTATAGGAGATGCAGAGAGCAGTATCCCCGTGGGCGACCCAAACTTGCCCACTTCCGAACTGCTCCGTAGGGGGTACACGAGAGCAGAAGTCCAACGGGGGCTTCAGGCGTTCCACTTTATCACTACTGCTGTGGTAAAAGAAGCTGACAAAGCAATTATCAGCAACTGTACGTCAGCGAAAGAGGTCCTTGCG